GCTGCGCCGTCCACTTTTTTTAAATATAATATTATTTTACTTGGCTGTATAATTATCAACAACTTGTAGTTTATAAAATAGATAGGCAAAGTTAGTAGAAAAAAATTACCAATGTGTTATAATATTATATTTGTAATTCGTATTTTATACAATCAGATCTAGTAAACTAATTGTTTTACTATATATCCTAGTTTCCCCAATGCACTTGCATTTTATCCTGGTTTCGTGCAGTATTGTATAAATACTTATGTGTGTATGTATACAGATCGAGATTGAGTAATCACGGCCGAGCCAGCTATGAACATATTATTTTAGTCTGTTCCCCAATTGTCACGAGCTACCGTTTTGACATATTTACGGTTTTTAAATTACAAATTGAAAACCGACCACCCGGGTGTATGCGCGTTTGTGTATCAATATTTTAGTGTAACGGTTTACGAAGGTCAAAGGGACACGTCGTGTAATTTGTCAGGACACGCGCAATTATTCAAATTTTTCTTAGTCGTATTGTCCTCGCTATTATTGCTGTCCATTTCCATTAGGCGCATCCCCCCGGGGCGTGAGATAACCCTGTTGGCATTCCCTCCGTTTGACACCTACCTATTGGAACATTATCTTTGTGCTGCTTTTTTTTTATTCTCCGTTTCTTTTCTCCTTCACGCTCATCGCGTGTTTTTCTCCTGTTAGTTCTCCGGTTCTCCTCGGCGGTCTTCTCCGCCCGTCGAACCCTTCTCTATAATATATATTATAACAGTTTTGTCTACGGCTCATTTAGCATCCGAATTAGCATATCGTGATAGACGCGCGGGCAAACGAAAAAAAAACATTCAGAGAATGAAAAATATGTACGCTTATATATTCTAAAGGAGAGGAGGGCCATTTGTCCGCCGCCGCTTGCAATGGCGATGATGATGATGCGTGTCCACTAAAATATTGTTGTTATACATAGTATATGAGAGACAAGCGTGTATGTATCGTGTCATGTATACTGTATAATATATTATATGCACACCGGTCAACACGTTTTGGCGACATCTCACGCTCTCCGCGGTCCGAAATGCTTGTATATGTGTGTGTGTGTGATTGCTTGTTGCGCGTGTGTCTGGTGCTTTATTTATAGAGACGAATCCCAGGGGCGTTGGAAATAACATATGCAAGCAGTAAAAATCTATATAGTATATACATGTGTAAAATAACATATATAATAAATATTTGACTCGGTGTCGTTGTATATTAGTATAAGTCATAACTGAACGTATTTTCCGGGGCTTTGAGCCAAAATCTGACGGATTATCTGCAAATATTCGCGTTCTCTAAAAATAATCTTGGGCCCCCGCCGTACTTATGCACCAGAGTCAAGAATTCCAGAATTTTTGTACCATGTATAATAACATTGATAAAATATCGTATTGGGTACACCCCCAATCCCACATAGGTAGGTAGGTACACGCCCCCGAACGCACAGTATCTATGAGTGTGTACACTCATAATAAATAGTAAATTAACTATTGTTATTCGTCATGAGTAGGAGCCGAGTTCTGCAACGACAAAGCTAATAAACAGCAACACATCAAAGTTTACACCTCTAAACAGTTAAAACGCCTAATACTATTTCTTGGAACTAGTCCTGCTACATACTATATTGTAGTAGGTATAATGCCATATAATGTACAGCATATTATGGGGGATATATTTTTAAATTGGTTCTTCCTTATTGTAGATTATCTTTAGTACTAGGGTTAGATTTTTTTCATTATTATTATTCAGTAATAATAGTGATATCCTTCCCAACAGTAACGAAAAATCTCGTTGAATTTTTTTAGTTTGGATCTGGTTTTACGATCGTGTGCGTGACAGTATATATATTATATATATAGCTAGCGCCATTGAATGGTCCAAAAAGGACGAAGAGTTGAAAAAATAAATATAGTCGTAAAATCTTTTTGAGTTGAAGGAAGAGGGAGGTTTAACTTCTATACTCGTATATACTACGTTGTACGTTATTCGCTGTGAAGAGTTTGAAGAGACAGTATGATGCTCCCTTATTATTATTACTATTTAGGAGATGAACAGCGCATTTTTATGACTGTGCATTACCTTAAAAACGCGAGAAATTTTACGATCCATCAACCCTCTGGCCATAGGGTACAGACACGCACAGTATATAGTCATTCTTATGTTCAATGTACACTGAAAAACGCGAGAAAAAAATAAAGGGAAGTTTTTCGATTACCATTCGAGCTCAAGTTGTCCTCTTCACATTTTATTTTTTCGGGGATTGGCGTGACAAGGAAACTGAATTGGGGTTTACAAGATTTAATCACGGTGTATATTATAGACGAAAAAAAGCACAACGCCACTCATCGTTCCAAGTACACTAGAATTCACAATTATTCATTATAATTTAAATATAATATGATATACCCATATAATATTATATATGGACTACGTGCTCCACAAGATCTGCCAATTAAATATTCATTGTTCTGTGATAAATAAAAAAAACCTTCAACCGCCGTTACTACGACGAGACTAGTTCTAATTTTAATAGTCTCCTGCCACCGAGGTGTTGCTTCTGCTTGCGCTTTTAATCTGAGAATCGTTGTTATATTTACTACCTAACGCCCTTCGGTAGCCTATACTACTGTGCATAAATCGCAAACACTTATTGTAACATTCGAATTAAATTTATAGATGATGGTTGTATCACTTTTGTGGGTTTTGAACGACCGTCATCACGTATAGTATTCTAATTTCGTTTTAAACTCTTATTTATGCATCTGTAGCACAATTCGGTTTCGTTTAACTGATTTAATAATAAAATTGTGTGGTTTGCTATTATTGTTGTAGGCATTTACAGGTTTATGATTATGGTAAATATTTGATGTAGGTACATGTATAAAATTTATAAACCCATAATATACGAGTGTGGTAATAATGTAAAAAACACTTTAAAAACTTGGACTATTTTTTAATACATTTTTTTTTAAATAAATCGTATCTGGGAATATCTTCTTATGATTCCGTTGCGTTCGTGATAAACCTTAATGTTTTTAAGTTATTAGGACCGGACAAAAATACAGTTCAAACTTGAAAATGTCAAAACCTACATTTAAAATATATAAGCATGTAGGGTTTGTATACAGGGTGATTCGTTTATCAAACAACACTCATTATTTATAAAAGTATTGACTTTTTTCAAAATATTGTTTTACATAGTTTCAAGTTGTTAAAAAACCAACGCTTTTATTAAAAAATTATATTTTTAAATATTTTTTATCCTTATCATTTTTTAA